GAAGAATGATTTAGACTTTAATTCAACTGACTCACATTCTGAATAACTCTAAATAGAATTCACAGTACAGAAAAACAAAACAAAGTATTTGTATTTAAGCAAAACATAATCAAGACAAGCCGGTACCGACCGGTATAGTTGTGAAGTTTGTATACCGGTGGCTGGTACCGGTATCGCAATTTTGATACCGGTTACAGCCCTGATTCCAGGCCATCTGGTGGACCTTTACCATGAGATGTAGCCGGAAAACACCAATCGGCATCCAACCCAAAATCTTTTTTATGATATGTAAGGTCCAGCATGTTGAATTTATTTTTAAAATGTGCTGTGTTTCCATCTGAGATGTACTGAATATTAGTGATGCTTCGGTTTTTAGCTTTAATGAATGCACAAATAATTCGCTGAGCATTGTGCACAAAGTGTATCGTGACTCATGTAATCTGAGATTACAACGATATTGTGTGCGTTCTGACTGGTTGTAATATGAACTGTGAAGACAGTTGCTTGCTTGACATTCCAATGCTTGCTCTGAATTTCTCTTTGTGTATCAAAACCATAATTCTCAGCAAAGTCAAGCTGTATAACAGCCAATTGTTTATCACAACACTTTCTCATTTCCTCTATATAATATAATATTTTTGTCGATGGTGCATATTCTGATGCATACAAAAAGCATCGAAACGGCTATCAAGAGCTTGAAGTAGATCATCAATGGAACCTGATATTCTTTTGGTATCAACCTAAGTCAGAGAGTTACCCACATTAAAAGACGATGGGCCAAAAAATCTACTGCTTACTTGTTTTTTCTTCCTTTTCCCATATCATATAGTCACAGGGATCATCAACGGTTCCATTAAACTTTGACAGTAGGTTTCACTTGCCAACAGGGTTGCCAGAACTGTGACTCATGGGGGACGGAAGAAAGGATCACCATGACAATTTCTTTGTTCCGTCCCCCATGAGTCGCCAGTTCTGGCAACCCTGCTTCCCAATATATCATCACACTTTTTACAACTACGACTCACACAAGCTAAATGTGAGGTCTTCTTTACATATTTTGGTCTGAGGCTGTGGAACTTTGAACGTCTAATTTCAAAACCTGGATAATCTTGCCGAAATTTTTCATAGGCGTCACCAACTGTACATGTTAGAAATCTAACAGCCACGCGAATTTTATCTTTTGCGTCACCGAAACGGATTAGTAAAGTGTCTCGCTTATTTGGTGAGGCTCTGCTCACTGAGTCCAACGAATAGTAATCAATGACTTGATTCACCGTATCAACTTCAATAAGTTGGTTTCCGCGACAATATTCTGGACGTGCCAAGATTCCTTTAGTCACACGTAACTCAATTGCATTTCGTGCTTGTGTATCAGTGGCATCCAAAAATTTTGCAACTTTCAAACGACCCCAACTTTCTGGACATAATGTTAAAATTTGAATTTGATCTATATAAGCACTCTGTGCGAAGAACTGTAGTAAGTCACCTAACCATAGAGAGACTTTTATCTTACGTCAACATAGACGTTCCGTACTTTACTCACTCAGCAGGGTATATTGATCATACAATGTTAAATCGCGAAATTTCTTATATAACTCCTCTGTGCTTGTAGAACGTTTATTCGACAATTCTTCGGACAAACGCTTGGGTTTTATCATCAATGAACTTGCTTTAATGCCAACTATCTCAGTGTTTCGCCTAAAATTTTGCAATTTAATAATTTTTCAATAATAGAAAGTAAGACTACTTACTCATCTTTCACAGGTGTAACATATTGTTTAAGAGATCTTTCGACGACTTTCTTT